ATACTCTCGACGGCGAGGGGAAACCCTCTTGGCGTCAAAAGTGTAAATACCCTCAACGGCCAAGAGGGTTTCTCCTCTCAGCCGTTGAGAGTGTACACCTCAACGGCCGAGAGGAGAAACCCTCTCGGTGTCAAGAGTGTACATACCCTCAACGGCCGAGAGGGTTTCTCCTCTCAGCCGTTGAGAGTGTACACCTCGACGGCCAAGAGGAGAAACCCTATCGGCGTCAAGAGTGTACATACCCTCAACGGCCGAGAGGGTTTCCCCTCTTGGCCGTTGAGAATGCGGTCTCGCGGCTGGGAGGCATCCTCTGGGCCGCTGCCGTGGGGTGAGGGTTGATTTGGTTTATCAACCCCCAAACCCTGGTCGGTTTGGGAGGATCGACTCCCAAACCAACCGGGGGTTTTTATTTTTATTTTATTAAATTCTTAGGGAGTCGACTCCCAAACCGGTCGACGGTTTTGGGGGATCGACTCCCTAATTTTGGGGGTTTTGGGGTTTGGGAGTCGACTCTCCAATTTTGGGGAGTCGATTAACCAAGCCCCTAATTTTATTCACTTGCAACTAGCCCAGATTAAATAGACTAGGTACAAATGGTCAAAAAGTGGTTGAAAGAAAAATGAATAAAGAAAAAGTATTTTGAATAAAAATTGAGAGAAAATAGAATAAGTTCTTGGAAAATAACAAACTGTGCAGTACTTCTCATTCTCTTGTAGTAAAAGCCAGATGAGCTAGTCAAGAAAAAATATTCTAAGTCACAAATAACAAGAGGCATTAATTCTTGATAACCAATTTTCAATATCAAACAATAAACCAGAAAAAGAAGAAATTACAACCGTAGAGACAAGATTGATTGAGTTGAGTTTAGTTTCTTAAGGTTCAAATTTGACTCAGAAGAGTACTCAGAAAACAACCAGAAAACATGCTACTTGGTGAAATTAAATCAGTCTAATTTAAGGTGATGAGAAATGTGAAAAGGTCAGAGAGAGAAAGAGAGGAAAATTTCAACAGGAGTTGTAACATATGTCACTTCATGTCACCTGACACCTACTGCCCTCAGATATTTCCTGGTGCAGGTCCTTCATATTTTCAAACCAAACATCCCTAAAGTTTGAGGGAGTGTCATAATTTCAAATCTTGTGACACTCCCACCAAAACACCTCAAACTCAGCAAGCAAGTTGGGCAAATTTTGTGTCAAGTCTCCCCTGCGGGGAGTTCTCTTTGGGAACCGCCTGGCCAGCGTTACACTGCCAGATGCGCCCCTGCAGCCTGAGACTTGCAACAAGTTCGGGAGATGCTGGGTATAGAGGCTGGTAACCAGTGCTGTACCACAGTGACATAGTGGCTTTATTTTTGTGGACTGTGTATATGGCAACAGTGGGTCACTACAGTAAACACACCCCTAGCAGCAGCATAGTGACCCCCAGAAAGCCCCCCCCCCCTGATGCTGTAGTGTTAGTGGACTGTTAGTAGTGCTACACTAACACTACACAGTATTACACCGCTTATTGTGGAAAACCCCACTCAATAGAGGCAACGGTGCCACAGATACGAGACATGTATTTGTATCGGATCGTATCGTATTTATTTTGAGCCTGATACCGGTATCAGTATTTCCTTGGTTGGTGAAAAAATACATTGTATTGGATTTGGATTTAAAAATGAAAAAAAAAAAAAATTCGTCTTTGTTTTTTTCGTTTTTTCTTCAATACAGCCAAGTATCTTATGTATCAAATACGGTTTTGGTGGGATCATTCATCTGAGACGATACAGAATACATTTCTCACTTTTCAAATACGATACATGTATATGTCTCAGGAAAGTGAGACAACACAAATCCGGTATTTTTGGGTATTCCAATTCTGAGACGATACAGATAAACGCCTGATACCATATCGTATCGTCTCTGTGGCACCGTTGATAGAGGCATAAAAATGCATCTAGGGGACACAGATTTACCTCCAGGCCAAGCACTACCATTAAGAGCTAACATAAATTATCTGTAGTGCTAGTGGTATTCTGCTACACTTTGCTTTGCTATTGCTGATGGTAGTGTAGCTGACCCACTGTTGCATGTAGCCTTAGAGTAGATCTGGTAGAACTATGCTGTGCTAAGCTAAATGTTAGCAGAATTCTGCAATGCTATACTAACACTGCTGTTTGTGTAGCTGGCCCAGTGTAGACAAAAGAATGGTCAATTTCAAACCAAAATGGCATTTCCTGTTTTTTCTTCTTCTTTCAAAAAGTTGTTCAGGAGAAGTTTAAGCTGATAAAAACTGAAATTGTTTTCTCAATCACATATCATGAACTTCCTTGAGCATTGAGTTTGTTGAAATCAAAACAAAAACTCATCTGTCCTTCTGGAACTTGAGTCTTGAGAGATGCATGACCACTCAAAATTGTCACTCAGAAGTTAGGGCCTGTACCACAGCCATCAAGTTTGCCAATTTCCAGTTCAATTTCTAAATTCCACCTTGTAAATTGGATCTGATAGATATGGTGTACCATACAGCATCCTTTATTACCAGATTTTTGGTGAAAACCCAGAATTCAAAATTGGAATCAAAAATTGGTCTGGGTGCTATATTGGTACAGGCCTCATGTGCTGTGTGCTGTTGTGTGTCTAATGTAGTACTAGGGGGTATCATGTATGTAGTGATATAGTGTTATATGGTTGGCAAAAAAGGGTAGAATCAGGTTGGCTGAAAATTATGTATTTACATCTAGATATCTCTAACCCTAATTTTCCACCTCAACCTTCGATGGTTGAGTTCAGACGATGATATCCATGCAAAACAAACTTGCAAACGAATTCGACTCACCACCTTCCAGTTCACATCATCATCATCAATGGGTTCACTGCCTTCGAACCGAGACTCCCTGGTATCTTCTGCCGTTGGCTTCCTCCAGGACCCCACGGTAGCATCCTCACCGCTCGCCAAGCGGATCGCCTTCTTAGAATCCAAAGGCCTGACTTCTTCGGAAATAGAGGAAGCGCTTCGTCGTGCTTCTAGTCTCAGTACATCTCAAAACGCCTTCGCTGCTGGATATCGGGGACCCTATCAAGCTGATCGTGATGCGACGGACTGGCGAGATTGGTTTGTGATGACTGTGATTGGTGGTGGTGTAGGTTACCTGCTCATCAACCTTGCCAAGGTAAGCCTCTACCTGCCAAACGATTAATCCTCGTTTTCTTTCATTGCTCACCCCTTAGGCATCAGGAGTCAGGCTTTTCCAGCGATCTTATGTGAGATACGTAACTGATCACTGAACTTGAACCTTTTGTCCTACTGCTACATGACTTGACCAGAAATTCCTGCTGCCGGCTTTGAAACCTCCTACGCAGACAGAGCTCGAAGAAGCGCAAGCCAGACTTGAACAAAAATATGACGAGGTTTCGGGAATATTGCAGACAATCCAAGCCGACACAGAGATTGTGAAGAGGGAAATAACTGAACAAACGGAGAAACTCGGTCTAGCGATGAAGGAGGTTGAATCGGCAGTCGAGGAGTGCTTGACGGGGGAAATCAAGCGAGATCAAGAACTTCATAGCGTTCAGCAGGAGGTTGAAGGACTGCGGACATCAGTTCAACAGGTTTGCTTTATAATATATAGCTCGTTCAGCCCCCCTCCCCATCCCTGGTCAGCAAACAGTAGACTGATATTGTTGCTATTCCGAACTGACATTCTCCTGAATCGTCTCGCTCATCAAAGATGTTCCAATCGAATAAAGAAGCTCAGACGGCTGCCATTGTGGATCTGCAAACGGAGCTCAAGTCGCTGAAATCACTTATGACTGCTCGGCCGGGTCCATCATCGAACCTTCCGGCCTCATCAACCAACGGTGTATCCGTCCGCTCCCCGCAAACCCCATCGGGGTTAAACTCATTTGGTATCCAGCCTCAAGCCAGTTCGCTCTCTAAATTCAATACCACCCGACCAGTTGGAATACCTGCATGGCAGCTGGCCCCTGGTTACAACACCACCCTCGCCAACCAGACCTCTAATAATGGGGATCATAGCTCCAATCAGACCGGCTCGACACCTACACCATCAGCATCTGGATCCTCTCCCCAAACCAAAACGCTTAGCTACAGCAATGGAAACGGAACCGGGAACCTCGATGATCACAACCGTTCTGGCACCGCCACCCCAGAACTCAGCAGTAGTCGGCAGAGTTTGGTGGAAGATGATGATGATCACATCATCAACAGTAAATATACGACGGATAGTCAAAATCAATCTATTAATGAGCCCATGAAGGCTTCGGTGGATGGTCTTCTGAGCTAGAATCTGGGTCTTTCAAGAATGCTTCCTCCGTGAACCTGTCTGATTGACTATTTGGGCCGGATTAGGTTTGATATTTTTACTCGACTATACTCTTTCGAACATACATGTATCAAGTTGAGGTGTTTTCGCCTCAGAAAAGCAAATCATCTACTTTTTCTGCATGAATTCTATCCACCTCGAGTGCCAGTTTCTGCCTCGGAGCTGAGTGCTGGGACTATGTGGACTATAAGGCCATCCTGATGCTCAAGTGAGATGATACGTCATACCATGAGACCCCTAGTTGTGAGTAATTTACTTGCTCGAACCCATTACCAGATTCTTTGAGTTCCGATGACGTAGTGCTAAGATAACACCCCAGACCGAATCCTTGCAGACTTGAGTGTTCTCTTTTCTTTGTTTCTTATCTCTGGATTGGACAGGAACTTACATGTGTAATCCGGCACCCATTAAACACAACACACATACATAGGCCGATGCGCCATGTCAACATGTATTTAGTTACTTATGCACCAGGAAATAAGCCTCGGAGTGTTGCTCATGGGTCGGCTTCAGAGTGTGAAACCCTTATCACCAGTGCCCCTGGACTCTGGAGTGACATCATCTCAACCTCCCAGTGGAATCTCGGCGAAGCATTAATGAGTGGGAACGTTGATGTAAATCCCCTAGGCAAGCCAGGGCATTAATATCGTCGGACTCGGGCAGTTTCCACGTTCAGCTGGAATCCTGCTGGTTGGTCGTGATTGTGAAATCGATGTGTGCTTTCTTTTGTTATGCTTTTTTTTTCTCGTTTAATTTAAACTTTAATTAATATGTAATCCCTCTGATCTTCCTATTCCGATCGATCGATCTGCAATTTTTTCAATCAATGAGATCATCGAAAAAACGCTTTTGGTCATTGTCGGACTGTGATCCTGGCCATGTACCCAGTCCCCTGCCCATCAGAATATCGGAGTCCTTTAACCATCTCCCCCTCGAATTTCCATCCTCATTGACCAACATTTCCCTGAACCCTCCCCCATCCATATCACTCTAAATATTTACAAAAATACAAAATAAATTTCAACTAGGATCCACTCGGTGAACTTTCGTATCCTAGCCATCTTGAGTGAAAGTAAACCTTCACTATGGCCGACTCGCAGCCCCCCAGCTCCAATCCACCTCAGCGAACTCTTCTCAACTTGGGTTCTCTGCCACCCAAGCAAGCCGGGTTTGGTCAAGGCCAAGTCTGTATCATCCTAAGCTTCCTTCCTGTTGACTGGATTGATTGATGGAACCATCTCGTTTGTTGATGCCCTTTTATCTTTACCGCGCTCTACTTTCATCAGTTTCCTCGCACCCCCTCCCGTGTCGATCCCAATAATCCACCCTGGCCTGCATACAGAGGTTATCATGGTAAACACTCTCTTGTTATCATCATCATCATCATCATCATCATCATCATCATCATCATCATCATCTGATCAATATTTCCGATTCTCACCTTGCTTGGCAACCTCAATAATCAGAGTACTCCTTTGCCCATGCCACCATGGGGCAACGTTTGCCCACCATCTTGGGTAAAGCGATTGATGATACCGTCCAGACTCTCAACCAACAGACTGAAGAGGATCGTATCGTTGACCTGGTGAGTTGTATCGAGCGTATGGAGAACCTCATGGATGATCTTCATCAAAACGTCAGTCAACCCTCTTACTTTCTCCAAATGATCGAATGTCATTAATGATTGCTACCCTCCTCCCTATGCGGTTCATAGGCTAAGTTGCGCCCGATCGTCGACGATGGAGAAGGTGATATCTCTTTGTGGAACAAGGAGATTGCTAGATACTTTCGTGGGAAAGATTTCATGAACGCGCCCTGGTTGTTTGCCGAGGCTTACAAGTACCGCAGGTTACACGAGTGCTTTAGCATGTCCAAGTACTGGGGTTCCTAGTAAGTTGTGTCAAGCTCAGATATTAGGAATGGGTTGGAATCCTGTAGAGCTCTCCGAGGAAGCTCACAGGTCCTATCATCTATCTCTATACCGCAGTGATGTATTTTTTCGTCAAAAGTCCGACACTTTCTCAAGATCGGGCGATGCGGTATTCGAACTCTCTACCCGGTTTGCTGACCCCCCTAAAATGATCCAGGAGGAAGGTCAAGCCAAACAGGAGCAACTCAAGCTATTGTTTATGGAGTTGACTCAAGTTTGTCTCTGGGGAAACGCGACCGATCTTTCCCTCTTGATCAATGTTGGCATACCTCTGTCTTTGTTGGATTCTCTTCCGCTTGTACTGGCTGATTGACCATTTGGATTCCGACTTTTCTAGATGACCGAAGAAGATATCAAAAAGTTACAATCTACCGGAGGAGCTCATCTAGCCGACAGTGAAAAAAATATCTTGGGAAACGATCTCTTAAAATTATGGGAACATTTTTCCCATCTCAAGGGCGGAAGAATAGATTTCGTTCTGGACAATGCAGGGTTCGAGTTGTACTGTGATTGCGTTTATGCCGACTTCCTCTTACAGTCTGGCTTAGTGAACCAAGTAAGGTTTCATGGGAAGCGATTTGCTTGGTTTGGTACGTTTCTCAAATCAGTAAATTTGCCCTTGAAATAATGCACTTTGTTGATTAAAGGGATCTATATATGGCTCAGTTTCCGACGTGACTCGAAAAGACTGGAGCTGGCTCTTGAACTCTATGGTTTATGGGCATTTATTTGCCGACAGGACTGAAGACGAGCTGGCCAGTCTCAAGAGACTGGGCGAAAGATGGAAGGTCAGTTTGGGTTACTTAATGATGTCACCCGCAAGCAGTCCTGAGTTTATGCTTCCCTGGACCGCGATTGCTCAGCAATACGAAAAAGAAGGAAAGTGGATATACGAGCAACACCCCTTTTGGTGCACGGGGTACACTTGTATGTACTGCCGAACTCATATGCACGCGTATTGCGCTGAAGTCGATTTGTTTTGCAGTTTGGGATCTGAAAAACGAGGCTCCTGACCTTTTTCTACACCTCTCCGAATCGGATTTGGTCATTTTCAAGGGGGACTTGAACCATCGAAAGTTGACTTACGACTGCCACGCCCCGGTGGCCACTCCGTTCGACGTAGCCATTGGGCCCTTGGCTTCCGAGGCCGGTGCTCCGCCGGTGGCAAGCCTTAGAACAATCAAGTCTGACGTGGTGGTGGGCATTACTGAAGCTGATGCTGCCCGCTTGGACAAGGAAGAGCCAGGGTGGAAGATCAGTGGCAAATATGCTGTTGTGTTATTATCCAAAGGCCAGCCTGGCCAGCCCGTCCAATTCAGCTGAGGTCATCTTTACTTATTTTGTCAATTGTCTGGAGACCTGTATCAACTTATCTTTTATCCAACACGTTCAAGTCGAAGTGTCAAACCGTTCCTGTAGTTTCGCATAGTGTTCCTCTTATGATTTGTCATCCTCCATATCAGTGTAGTTTGCAAGAGTCTGAACTTATTTTTGTTTCCTGAAGTGTTCCTGGATGACGCAGGAAAAGTCTATTTGAAGTCTCAATGTATGTTGAAAACATTTTCATTTTGGAAAAATCCAACCTGTGAATGTTTTACTTTTCGATTTGGTTGCAAGTCAAATCGAGGTATCAAACCGATTGCAGGTTCCTCTTGAAAATTTGACATCACCCATATCAGTCCACTATAGAATTCAAACGTATTTTGATCCTCTGAAATGCCGCCGGATGAGGCCGCAGGAGCCTAGAGTCATCTGTCCCGGTGAAAGAGAACAACACATGCCTGTGAGTTCATCTTGTTGCGACTTGTTTATTGGCCTGGGGTTTGAGGTTGATACTGATACTATACTAGCTACCCGCAGCTCACAAATGTCAAAGCTCACCTAAGCAACACTGAAACCTCAAGAGCTCGTAGTCTAATATGCAGCACATATTTATTTATAATATGTAGTCACAATCAACTTTGAAAAGCATTTGATGAACTTTCAAACTTCTGATTGACTTGGTTATTGGTCAGGAGCTTGTGGTTGGTAAAACGTAGCTCAATGTTGAAGAAGCTGAACTACAAGGAGCACTGAAGTCTGAAACCTCAGGGTGGTTGCGTAAGTAACGTTTAGGACACTCACAGCCTCAACATTATCACGTCATACATAACAACTCTCTATTAGTATGTGTTGACTTGGTCAACTTTAATGATCAAACAATTCCCTGATCATAAGCCCATATCGTACATAGCAGCTTGTATCCTAAAACACCCGCAGCTCTCGAAGCTCAGTAGTACAACTGCAGAGAGGATGACTGAAACCACTGAGTTGTCATTTGTCACACGTTACTGTTATAACCTACTACCAACACTGAATGCCCGGTTTTGCGTTCAAAAGCTTTTTCAGGCCTTCTGTCACTGAGCAACCGCTTTGAACGGGTTGCAAAAAATGTTGTATATAATCGTGGCCACATTGTTGTAAAGTGTATGCTGACGAATTCTATGTAACCGATCGATCAGAGTCAACGTGTTTTATATTGTTTGGTGACTTGACGAAGCACGGGTGTGCTCGGCACCATATGTCTGGGTGTACATTGTCAAGCACCTGCCATGTGTATTAGTGTTTACCCTGGGAAAAACATCTGAGGTCTTGGTTGGAATCTCTCCAAGCTGCAACTTTTCTTGTAGTCCAACTTGCCACATGGTGTAGAAGTTTCACCCGAGGCTGGCTTCCAAGTTCCAAACTTCCAAACTTCACATCTGAGACAATCAAGGAAGCTTCAGTGCAGCACGGCGTCAAAGTCGGGGCAGCAGCTGTCTTACGAGTTAGCACAGCTACCAAGTCGATACCAGGCCGGCGGCATCATTTCGTCAACTGTGGACCGTCAACCCAAGTCGAAGGTGGCTTTTCATTGTTGCTGCTTTCTTCCATCCTTCTTATAAGACGGCCGTTTACTTCTTCAGTCTACGTCGTGAGCTTGGCGGATCCATTCCAGCTTTACCTTCACCTCCAGCGCAGAATCAATCCAGAAGAAAACCAAAGGGTGAGTTCCTAGCACTTAATCAGTAGATAATTTCCTGCTTCATGAAAGCAGTTCTTGCATAAAATGATGCCAAAAGATCGCCCTATACCTGATTAAATAATACCAATATGCAAACGAGCTGTTGAAAATCCAGCAAAAAGAACCACCACCACCGCTCATCTCAAAAGGTCGTCGTAGAACGTGCAATGGTCACATCAGGTCCATCGTCTGCTGATTGTTGTGATGAAGAATAGTCGAATTGAGGGTTGAAGCGATCGTGTTGTTCAACCCGATAATTTGACCAAGCTTTTCTGGTTCAAGCTTTTCATGAACCAAGCGATTGATATTGTGTCCTATGGGGTTACACTTGTATTACCGTTTATTCTGGGGCACTAATCGATGCTTCTTTTTTTCTTGTCTAGGCACGAAAAAGATTAAGCAGCAAGAAAGTAATCCAAAATAATTGAAATGCCATATGATTTGGCTGGGCACCTCTGCCTAGGCGCTATAGCATATTTTCTATACCTTCTTCTCAGATAGTTTGTCACATGTTTAAATTTCTGCTGTTAAATATGATAGCTGTTGCTAACATGATCTACGTTATCTTGATAGCCACAACAGGGGTGAGCTAGACTGTGATCGGGTGCCATCAACCTTCTTCTTTTTATGTGGTTTGTTGGTAGCTGATTCTCTGTTTCCCATATCACATTCTCACGCCATCTATCACAGCCATCGGCACTAGCAAGAGAAAGGACTCCAAGTTCGCTGACATTCCGGGATGGCCTATGTACGTGATGATTGATAGCGAGTTATGTACTTCCTCAGATTTTGATTGAGCAATTTTGTTTTTTTCTTTCGTTGTATTCCCCGGTTGCTCAGAATTGGGCAGGTATGTAAACTACGATGACCGCTTCTGTCCCATCTCGAACCGCCGACTCGCTTAGGGAGAGGTGGCTTCAAGACACGAAAAATGTGCTGATTTGCTAAAATTCTGGTGTTACCTGATAATGCCAATAATATGTCAGATTCCTGAAGTGATTTCGAACTTCTCCCACCCACTCGAATTGGGGATGACGAGACACTTGACGTTTCGTCCAGGATGGAGTGTAACCATGCCTGGGCTGAGGCTGGTTGATATCAGTAAACCTGAATGGCTCGAGTATATCCAGAAAAGTGAGTCCTGCAGATGTTCACTTGTTGCCGCCTTTTTTTTGCGGCCCCATCCATACTAATCTATGGTTGTTTGATCCAGCAAATTTTCACAATTATGTTAAGGTCAGTCATATGAAACATCGGCTTCGACAAATTATGCCTTCTATGAACTAAATTCACCGGTACCTTTTTCCGCTCTTCAAGGGGTCTCGCTTCCACTCGGTTATGACTGATGTCTTCGGGAACGGGATCTTCGTCACTGATGGTCAGCTGTGGAAAAATAGTCGGCACATTTTGGCCCCTCTTTTCACTGTCAAATCTTTCAAGGTGAGTATCTATTTTTCTCTTCTGTTGTCGTGACCTTGTGCTCACTTGACTTTTTTTTCGCGAGGGAAATCAGGCTTGCATATCCCCGAGCCTCAGAGTCAATCTTGATACCTTGATCGAAGGCCTGGAGCTTGCTTCTGAAAGTCGACCAACTGTCGATCTTTGTGATGTACTCTTCAAGTTCACGTTGAACTTCATTGTATACACGACGTGAGTTGATTGAGTCTCATCAGGTAAGATTGGCGAAGATTGACCATTTGGATGTAGCTTGGGGAAAAATATGGGTCAGCTCGACCAGCTCCATCTTCCTCCGATCAGACCCTTATCGCCCTCGCCAGATTCTACGTTTGTCGATGCATTCGATTTCGCTCAGAACCAATTGGACTTTCGATTTTCGATCATCACCCTCTGGAAAGTCTTCGAGAGAGTCAACATACGCTTAGGAAACAAGATCAGGTCAGCATGTAAGACTCTTCACCGGTACGCCTCCTCGTTAATCGACGAGCGGCTGGCCAGCTTTGACCAAGACGCCCAGAGGTATCACGAAACTCCTACCGATCTCCTGGGCTTTTCCCTCAAGATCCGCAAGGAGATGGGCGGTGAGTTGAGTCGGGAAGAGCTGAAAGACGCCTTTCTGAATCTCATCATAGCCGGCCGGTGAGTCCGCAGCTTTCCTCCCAATGTGATCCTCAGCTTGAGAAATTTCTGAGACAGCTCAAATTTTCCCCACAGAGATAGCACTGGAGAAGCTCTTACATGGGCTTTCTACCATCTCCTAATGAATGAAGATCTCGTGGCTAAGATAAGGGAGGAAGCAAGTACAATCACCGGTAAAGATAGAGCCGGTCAAGTCACCTATGAGAACAACAAGGAATTCAAATGGGCCCATGCAGTCGTCCTGGAAACCCTTAGACTACATCCAAGTATCCCCAAAGTGGGTTGATCTTTCTCTCTCGGGTACCCCCAAAGCCAATTTCTGACATCTTGCCCGGGTCAATTATCTTTTTGTGGCGGCAATAGAATATCAGATTTGCTCTCAAGGCAGACAAAATTCCTGGTGGACCGGTGATCGAGGCGGGTGATGCGGTCAGATGGAGGTGGGTGGACCAATCCGGCTCAGGAATCCAAGAGGCCGTTTTTAATGTGAGCTAATTGCTCCTGCTGTTTTGGGAGGACACTCAATCTGTAGTGATTGGGCGATCGCTCGAGACCCTGAGGTCTGGGGAGAAGACTGTCTTGAATTTCGGCCGGCTAGATGGATTGACGAGAATGGAAACATCAAGCAGTTTAGCCAGTTCAAGTTCCACGCCTTCAACGTCAGCACTTTCCTCCATCTCATCTTTCTATCCATCCTCATTATCAATATTGACAACACTCTTATTCTTTGTGAAATTCTCCAGGGCGGCCCAAGGGTTTGCTTGGGTATGAACTTTGCAATCTTTCAGTGTGTCTGCCTGATCGTAGAAGTTTTTCATAACTTTGAGCTCGAGTTTGCCCCAGGCTGGTAAGCATCTCACCAGGAAGCGGATCGATGTTTGTCTGATTGTGGGTCCAAATACTGACAAGCGCCATCAACAGGTTACAACAGGTCCCGAAATCGCCTATCGTCGGTGACTCCTCCACTTCATCTAACCTGTATCGGACACCCCATTACAAGCCGTCACTCACGCTTCCAATGTCACAGCCGATGATGGTGACTATCAAATCCTATCAAGGTGACAACTGAGCTCGACTCTTCAGTGTACATATGAGAGCGCAGAAATCTGCAAACAGGTTCCCTCTCCAAGATAATTTATGTTTGCAGATACATAATTCAGATTTATAGATAATTTAATATTTACACCCTTTTTCCGCCCCTTGACCATCCAGCTGCTTTTCCGGTTCGTTTCCGAGTCTTTCCAACCGTCAATGTCACTCATTAGATCTCCTTGGACCTTATAGGAGTTTGTAGCAGTCTTTCTGCCTAAAGTTTTTCTTTTTACTTCCTTCTTATATCACTAAATATATGCCCACAATTTGTTTCGGCGCTACAAGTCTGCTTTTCCATCTGTTCTTGATTTGAGCTCAAGATCATAATGTCTATCCTCATAATTACGGCTTGATTGATACATAATAACATAGATTGGCAGTTTTGTTCTTAACGTGGTCTTTGGCTGGTTTCGATGGACTGTAATACATTATACTGGAAAGCATCGGTTCTTTCTCATGACTGCCACCCCCCTTCCTTCCAAAATGAAAAATTAATGGATTGTTTTTGAGTTACAAAATGGATTTGGTTCAGCTTTAAGAGGGACTTGAGCAACGCGAAAAGGAAAATGAATGATTCTTGAGATCAGGTACTTAAGGACTCGATTTAGCCCGTTTCAAAAGGAGATCAGCCGCCTGGAAAGTCTTGTTCCTTGACACACATTCCGCCCGTCTGTTCGGAGGCCGCATGGCATGAACTACGGTCTGGCAAACCCTCCGAGAATTTTGGGTTTCCAACCGGCTATCTCGGCCGGGGATGCACGTCCGCCAGTTATGCTCCCCAGACGCAGACCACTCCCCAACAAACAGGAGACCTTTATCTACAACGCAAATAACCCGGTGTTGAGTCACTCAGACGTCCAGGGGACCACGATGTCCGTCAGGCAGAGGCTGCAGTTGGGGCGCAAAACCTATCATGCAAGATTATGCCCGATCAGTAACTGGTGCCACAAGTGGCCAGAGATGTTTGAGAACTACATAAACTGCAAGTCCCTTCCTTGCCGGAGAGTGAGGCTTGCGGGAGGAGGCAAGGAGAGGACTTGGCTAACAAGTTCCTCTGAAAACAGCCGTTTGCGGAAACCCCTGTCGAATTCCGGGGGGATGCCCATCCGAAGGACCCACACCCGTCATCGCCAATATTGTCGACTGTCGAGTGACACCCTGGATGATACATATTTAAGTACGTCATCAAGGTCTGTGAAAGTGCACATTATAAAGGACGAAAGATCCCCAATCCGCTGTTACTACGATAGACTCAAAAACCCATCACAAAGAAACATCGACACAAGTGATAGCCATGTCCCCATCAAACAGTATCAAGTCTCAAGCCATGCTTCTCGCCTTGATCCGCCATCGTTCTTCCGGATTCTCTTACCCCTGTGGTCAGAAGCAGTTCAACACACATGCCAACCCAGTCTTTCGGTAAGTCTGACAATCATCTTCTCCTGCGCAATGTTTGGTTTGTTAATCGACATTTGACGTATAAGGCTCCTCCTATCAACTGATTTGCATCCCCCTCCCCCCCCCCCCCCCTCCTGTAACAGGCCCGACAATGCTGTTCCGTCGACTGATGCCAAAGGCTTCCAAAAACGTGAACGTAGCGAAGAAGGTCGTTACGCTCGAGAAAAGGTATGTTTAAACAAACAGGCGGGCGGTCACATATCCTTCCTTGCTGTTTGGAATTTTTCCCTTGGAATTCTTAGCCCGTATGAATCCAATTCCTGATCTTTACTGAAATCGTTCTTCTAATTAATCACTCATAGGAAGTAGCGGAAATAAAAGAATTACGTGATCAACTGGCGAAACATCAAGCTAAAATTGAACAGCTTGAAAACCACGTGTAAGTTTTGAGGAGCCGTCTGATTCTCAAGTACGGATCTTCCAAGCGCCCCCGATTGTGATTGATAGATTGATTCGGTCTGGTTTGACTGTTTCGCTATCTAGGAAATCCAAGAAATGATAATCGACTTTGTGGGATCATGGATTGGCAGGTAATCGATCCGATCATCAGGTCTCGGACGACTCAGCCTTTGATCGGTAAAATCAGAAAGATCTTTGGGGTCATGAATTGCTCATGTATTTTAAATCACCAAATGAATAAATATATATAATGTAACAACCAGTTTTATCTGCATCCGTGTTTTTAATTATTTATTAATTCTCCAGCTCAAATCAGATTGCTGCAGAGTAGTTTGAGAGACTTCAAATGAAGTGGGAGCTTATGTTCATACATAAAGTAATGTATCTGAACCAGAAATGAAAAAGTGCAAAAATAATCAAACACATTCTGGGGAAATGATTGATATATGGAATGATAAACAGAGAGTTTGAATATCACTCCTCAGAGGATTAGGAATACCATGGGAGAAACAAATTGCTTACTTCAAGAAGGATTTGATCAAACTGCTTGATCAAGTTCTTGCATGTTGGTTGAGGAGAGAAATGCATTCTTGAGTAAGATGAATGAGAAATTTATGTACATACATAGAGCAGCAGCAAGACTCACCTTCTGCATTCCTATCACAGAAGCTGGTCAATGATTAGATACACATTTTCAGTCACATGTCAATCCTCTGATTTTGGTTTTCTTCTGAATGATACATAGTTACTTGATGACAGTAAAGTTGAATGCAAAATTTCTTTGATTTTTGTATCAAGATTAATTAAGAGTTTTGTTTACTGATTGAGATAATCTATAGTTTTGGCTGGGACTTGTCAATATGCCAATGAGTAAAAACCTATGTACACCAATGATTTTGAACACCATACAATTTGAAGTCATTGCATAATAATATGATTGTCATTGTCTAAGAATTTGGTATTTGCACTGGGAGGCACTAATCGATTGTTTTTTTTTTTTGGTATGACTTGCTCAAAAAAATCAGTTTTGACCCAGATCCCAGCCTGCAACTATCATCCTGGTATAATCAAAAATGAATTATCAGTGAGAACAGATCATGTTGCCTGTTTTTGTTTGACTTCCACTATGCAAACAGAGTCAGGGTTATAAGAACCAGATCTATTTAGCTGGGCCCATTTTGAATTGTTCTTGATTTCCCTCTTGGGAGTTTTATCGATGCTAATTCAGATTGATTGATACGTGCCTATGTAGCGGGTATGCTCTTTGTCTGTGGATTTTTAAGAAGCAGCGTCATCACTCCGAAGAGAAAGAGTATCTCTGTCTGTCTGTTGCCCAGTCTCACCATGTACATATGTCAATTGAGTTTCTGCCCTGGTTTGATGAAGTATATGTAGGGTTTAATCTGGCTTAAGTGAGCCAGCTTTAATTCGACCACCAGCCGGCGTTGAGCTTGGACTGATTCTCGACCCTCCTCGACTCCGAAGAGGCCATCCGACTGCCAAGACTGTCACCCCCAGCACCAGCGTCCAGCCCAAACAGCCAACAGCGACCACAACAGTCGACAACAACATCCATCCATCCATCCATCCCAAAAACAACCAACAAACCAACAAACCAACACACAGACAAACCTCCGAATATCACTCATCGGCTGCTTGGAAGAAGAACGAGAACGAGAACGTCCAGCTCATTCAATCGTAAGCAGTCATCGATCGACCAGTCTACTTTTTACATAATCCCTCCATCCTACTCTCTCACTCTCCCTCACTCGCTATCCGATTAGATATCCACATCGCCTCTCCTGCACAGACCACCACCCATTGATCACACCCTTTCTGATCTCTGCCTACAGACTGCTTCACCCGAATTCGTTTTGGTCGTCCCCACAACTCATCCGCACTTCCTCCTTCATGGCAAAGAAAACGCAACCCAGTCGATCGGCTGCTTCGGCTCTCCAATCAGCTCAACAGCAGAAGAACCAGAAACCTTCCCTGCCTCCCCCTCCATCCCCCCCTTCGCTAGCCCCCAAGTCCAAAACATCCGGCGCTGCAAAGAAGAAGAATAAGAAGAAGGCTGCCCAGGCTCGTCAACTCGACTCGATCAACCATCTGGATCAACTCAACGATAATCATACCGATTCAAACAGTCTGATCGGTCGATCTGATATGATTGGTGCCTATCCGGCCGAAGATGCCGTCTCAATCACCCAGCGGACAACAACCGGTAGCATCTCCCCCGATGAGGACGAGGACGACCGGATCACCTCTCATACCATGCATCCCAGTCTGGCTGCAGCCACCCGTCAGACTCAAGAAGATCTACTCGCCACAGCTAACGACCTCTACCGTCAGATCGAGTCTGCAGCCGCAGCCGCACTCGCTACTACTCAATACCCCAAGAGCAACAATTCGATCCATAACTCTAACAATCAGAACCAATCCTCGACAAATCATCAATCCGGTCATTCAAATTCAAGTCAGTCCTCTTTGGCATCTCTTCCTCCCCCGGTGGCTCAAGTTCTTCCCGCTTCTTTTCTTCTTCGCCTTCTTTTTCGTCTTCCCCTCCTTCTCTCCTTTCAATCATACATATCATCCTTCCCTTTTCCTTGTTCCTTTTATATCCTCTTATATCCCAATCAGCCCCGAGGCTTGATCTAGCACAAACGTGATGGTTATCAATCATCAACCCGCCTCTTCTTTACCACCGATCTTGCTCATACATGCTGATTCGGGCGCAATCAAGCTCTCTTTTTGCTCTTCCCCTCCTAAAGATTCCATAGAATTCAGACTGTGTTGACATCGATGACCTCATTAACTGAGTTTTGTCTTTTTTCGCGCTTTTTTTTTTGATTCCTGTTTAACAACTTTCAGATAATCACTCGCCTCATCCGGATGATGATGCATATTGGAATTCTCTTCCTGCTCATCTGCGATCGTTTATTCGTTCTGCTCTTCCCCTTGCTGCCGGTCACTCATCTTCCAATAGCAATCAATCACAGTCCTCCGCTCAGAATCCAGGTGCCATCCTACCAAACCTGTCTTCCTTCGCCCACGCAACCGGTATGGTCACCTCCACGACCACCTCCAACAACCAACAGAGCGTACCCCAACTGACGAGCGAACAAATGGCAGCAGCAGCTGAACAATTGGCTCGAGTCGTCCAAAGTCACGATTGGGGTCGAGCGGTCTCCACTGCAGCGCAACAGGCCGGCTTATCGCATACTAGCGTCATGAACCACATCATCAATGGCACTGCTCGATCGTCTCACAATTATAGTCGTGATGGGAGCGGCGCCGCTGCTACACTTAGCGTGACAGGTGGAACTGTCACCGGAACGATACCCCTCGGAAGTTTCACCCTGCCTCTACCCCTTCACGCTCATCCTGAACAACATCAGCACCAGAACTCACATGGGATTAATGAGCCTGTTTACTACACCGGCGAGACGACTATCGTGACCTCGAGAATCGGTGATAAACACAATGGCGATGATGGTTTGTTAGATGATGGTTATTACAGCGATGATGCGAGAGGAATGCGAGGTGACATTAATCATACTATACTCGACAACCGACATAACCACTCTGAACAAGCTAGTAACGCTAGCAATATTGGGGTCAACAACTCATCTCCAGCAATGACAACAACCACGAGTAACAAGAAGAAGAAGAAGAACAAGAAGAAAAAATCGGTCAGTCTCCAGAAATCTGTTTGAATCTCAAGTTGGCTCACCAGCACTGAATACTGATCTTTTGATTATCGTTATTACTATTCATCCCATTTTGCTTCATCAGGGTAACGCTGGTTCCAATGAAGCTACCCAACCTCCTCCTGTTCCGAGTATCGATGTTCAGCGTTCCGCTCCTACGTTACCATCGAATCCTGGAGTTCCCACCAAAGCATCATCTCAAATTAATTCATCAACGCGAAAACCTGGTCTTGATCCTCCGGGCGTTCATCTCACAAATCAGACCCTTTCACCAAATGCCGCTGCACCCGCCTCTCGACTGCCCCCAGTTCCACCTTCTGCCCAGAAAAAGAAAAGTCCTATCGCCACTTCATTGTCTTCTAACGTAAACAATTCAGCCTCCTCATCGACCGTCACAAACACCAACTCGAATAACACCTCCCATCAGCCCACCGAACGGGAGCGGATTCGCGTCTTCTGGTTGACGCTGAATCAAGAGGAGCGAGCCAACCTTGTAAAGATCGAGAAGGATGCCGTGCTGAAAAAAATGAAGGAACAACAGCGGCATTCTTGCTCCTGTGCAGTCTGTGGACGAAAACGACTGGCGATCGAGCAAGAACTAGAAGTATTGTACGATGCCTATTATGACGAACTGGAGAATTACGCGGAGGCCTCCAAGAAGTATTACGGCTCAGACTTGAAGACAAAGGGCGACAAAGGCCTACCTGGAGCCTACCCAAAGCCACCAGGACCCGGGCCATTCCCAGGAAGTGTAGACATCATGATGACGGCGACCCAACCATCAACTCAAGTTGCATCCAAGAAGGCTGTTCCCAAACCTACTCGTGATCATAAAAACATTCGGCCAAGACCTCAGCAAGCCGTGCCTCAGCAGACTCATCCACCTCCTCAATCTACAAATGGAACCAATGGACATTATCAGCAACCACCAGGTGCCGCCAAACGAAACTTACCCCCACCGTCTCAATTGAAGAAGTTGAATTCACATAACAGCAATAGTGATCACGATCACACGCATAGCCCAAGCTGCCCCCACCATCCTCATCACCACGGTCCAAATCACTATCACCCCAACAATCGTGGAAAAGGTGTTGCTAATGCTCACTGCATTCCCCCGGCTGCTCATCCACGGACACATCCCCGAAATGAAGACGCGTTTCCCGATGAAGATGCAGAGGATGAGGAAGATGAAGATGAATACGACGATGACGATGAGGAAGAATATGATGAAGTTGGTCTGATTACTATTTTGGCTTGTTTTCGATCTGTTATAGCTGATCTAGATCCTGACTCTTCACAATGCAACCACTTTTACCCTTTTAGGACGAAGAGGAGGAAGGCGAGTTTGAAGATGATGATGAGATCCCAGCGTTAGAAGAAGTGCCCAGCGAAACGTTGGTACCAAATAACGCACACAAGAAACCTCCCATCAACGGCACAAATATGCCTTACCCTAATAAATTGCCCAATGGCGATAAACCGAGTAGCACGCATGCAAACAACAGCGATTTATTTGGATTTGGAAACTCTCTAACTGTCAAAGGTCCGTTGGCTTGGATTTCATTTTTTTTTCTAATCACCAACTTCTTCATCATTATACTCTCCTGCTCTTTCCTTCACATTCATAGAGCAATGGAGGCATCAAAAACCCATCCCTAGCTTTTGAGTCACCTTGTCATTCTGGACGTTACTTGTATTGAGCTCATTGCGTCTCATTCTTCCCCCCCCTTTCCTTTCTCACTTGATTTGTTTCGTTCTCATACGGTCGCTGTCAAAACATTGCGAATCGTTTCCGTCGATTATTCCGCTTCAACCCACCCTTGCGGCTCGGTCCAGGAGGTATATTGACCGTGGCCGACGACCTTCTTCGGAACGATGGGCAAAAGTTCTTGGAAATGATGGAATCATTGGCCGATAAACGTATCCAGCGGGAGCGAGATGCGGCCGAAAATCTTCTGGCTATTGGAAGATGATGAGAATGACGGGGATGATTACGATGAAGATGAGGAGGAGGATGATGAGGTGCGGGTCCAAGCATCCAACTTGATGGTTTGCCTAGCTGACCAAGAATTTTTCCACCTCGCTTGGTTTACCAGCTCGACGATGACGATGGATTTGATGACGAGATCATCACTGAGGAATATCGAATGAAAGAAGGCCGCCGGATGTTTCAAATCTTTGCAGCAAGAATGTTCGAGCAACGCGTCTTGACGGCTTACCGGGAAAAGGTAGCACAAGAAAAGCAGGCCCAACTACTCCGAGAATTGGAAGATGAGGACAGACTAGCCCAAGAGCGCGAGCTCAAAAAGGTGAAGGATGCCCAGAAGAAAAAGGAGAAGAAGAAAGCTCAGAAGCAGCAGAAAGATCAAGACCTCGCCAAAAAGCTAAAGGACAAAGAAGCCGAAGAGCAGGCCGCGAAAGCTGCTGAAGAAGCTCGACTTGAAGCTGAAAAGCGTAAACAAGAAGAGCAGCGCATCAAGCGAGAAGCCCAGAGGAAGCTGCAAGAAGCCGAACGTGCAAAGAAAGAAGAGGAGAGGAAGAAACGGATCGAGGAAGAAACTAGGAAAAGAAAGGAGAAGGAGGAGAAAATTCGGCAAGAAAAAGAGGCTAGGGTTGCCAAGGAGAAGGAAGAGCGTGAAAAGAAGGCTCGGGAGGAAGCCGAGCGAAAAGCAAAGCTAGAGTTGGAACGGAAAGAAAAAGAGGCTAAAGAGGCCAAGGCAAAGGAAGAATTAGCGCGGAAGAAAAAAGCCGAGACTGCTAAACGTGAAGCAGAGGAAGCGGCCAAACGCGAAGCAGCAAAAGTAAGCAATGCATCATCTCATTATTAACCTTGAACGCTTCATTTTCTCGAAAAAAATAATTTTGATCTGATTTTTTATTTTTATTTTCATTGTTGTTAATCTTCTATCCAGACAGCTGCTGCTAAATTGGCCGCTCAGAACAAAAATGTTACACCTAACGCCAAGCCCAACCAACGTTCCCCGGTATCTGTTAGGTCGCCAATGACGCCCAAGCCGATCAATACATCTATCAAGATGCCACCCAGCTCCGGTGCACATAATCTTCCGATCCCAAACCCGAATTTTCCACCGCATACACCCAATCGACCGATGTTGCCGCCTCCCATGCTCCCCAGACAGATGTCCGTTGGCATCGGCCTTGGAAGACCCGCCTCGGCGGCTGCGGCTCCACCTTTTTCTGCAGCTGTTCCACCTATGGCTGGCCCTTCTTCTTACTCGAACATACCCACAAGGCCACCAAGTGCACAGTATTCGACCTCCTTTCCTGCTTCCAACGCCTACGCGCCACCTGGATGTTTGCAAAATATACCTCCCGATATGCATGTGCCGCCGATGAATGGTATTCAAGCACCTCTAGTTGGAGGGCCTTTTATGCCGATGGGTAGCTTTCAACCCCCGATGGGACCGATGATGCCCTCGATCAATAACAGAGCGTTCTCAGGATCTGCGATCCCCATCACCCCTCAGCATAACTATGTTAACCAAACATCTCAGTCGCACCAACCTTCCCAGCACCAAAGACCCAGTATCGTCTCTTCTCTTCCACCTTCGACTCCGACTCATCCTTCTGGACTCATGAGCCCAGGTATAAGTTCAGCAAGCAGTCCACTAAGTGCTCTACATCTGGGCAGTGAGCCTGTCAGCAAAGCCACCGTGAGTGCTGTTGGGCCCATCGGCCCCTCCTCAACCCAACAACCACGTCGACCATCAGGGATAGATGAAGCTTTGGCTCAAGGCGGGTTTTTTTCAAATTCGATTGAACCTATCGGCCGTCCCAAGCTTAATGGGACATCAAACGCGATGGAAGTATTGAGTGGTCAAAGTGATCGAGATTCAACGCCGGATTCTGCAGATACGTCACCGACTAGGTCTTCTCAGAACGTACTGGGATCTTCGGCCCTTTTAGCAGATGACGAGGCTGGCGCCAACTTTCCGAGACGACATACGATGCCGACCAACATAACCCCGACGAGTAGAAAGACGAGTTGCTTTCCAGCTCCTCCAGGATTCGATAGGGGTCTTGTTGTAGGTAACAGTATCTGGGGTACATCTTTGCCCGCAGGCGGCGGAGATTCGGGCTGGGGTGCGGCCGTTCTGTCGACGCCGCCACCTTCAGTAGTAACCCCTCGGACGCCTCTGCAACCTTCATCCCTTGGCGGAGTTGTCCAACCGAGTGGAGCCAATCCGCCTCGAGAGAATACATCGGATTGGATCAGACGTAGGGCAATATCGGCTTATTGTAACATGCGCCTCAACGAGAAGTGGATCCCAGTTGGAGACGTGTCTATCGAGATGCAACGGATTCACCTTGATACTCTCAATGTTAGCTTGAAAGATATGGTCGATGCCTGTCTCATCAAACGCAACATTCATAACGGCGGTGGTGATTGGCAGTTCAGTCAACAGGGGCCAGTACTTTACACTCGTTGGTTGCCCGTGTCTAGTCAAGAAGTTTCACTTGGAACTTCCAATCTTGTTTCTTAGTTTCTCCCAGTGTCAGTTGCTCCTTTTTGTCCAGTATCATTTGGTCAATATGCTTGGTTTTTTTTTTGTTTTTTTTTTTGCCGCTCCTCTCTTTTTCTTTTTCTATTTCTCTTCTTTTTATATGAATATATATATAAATATTCATCTCTTCTGCTCACTTTCATTATAATAAAATTAACAGCAGCAAACTATTAGACCATTGAATCCGTTTCTTACCTTGATATTCTCATTGGTGAAAAAAAAAAGTTTTTTTTTTTTTTCTCTCTTTCAATTATTATTATTTTTTCTTTGTCAGTGACAGAAGTCTTTTGAGTTGAAACCAAATTCTCTGAGCCAAGACAATGAAAAAGGATTGAAAGAAGAAGAGGAACTCTAGTACCACATCAACTAACTTGTCACAATAATCTCTGATGATTGATTTAGTGCTTGAATGAGATAAATCTTGACCAAGATTTAGGGCTTCACATAAAATGCAACATCTTGAAAGAATAGTTTCTGAGATCTTGATTTGAAAAAAAAACATGATAATTTGTAATGATTCCAATGGATTGTAGTCAGTGATCAGAATTATATGGAATGCTTATACTAAGAAACACCAAAACAATCTGTTGCAACCAACCCCCCTCCCCCCCTAATCTCATGCACACTGATTAATTAGAATGATTTTTGTTTTCTTGTGTCAAATGATATGATTTGAGATTGTAGATGAAGTACTCAGTAATAGCAACCACTTTTCAGCTCAAGCCAACTCTGACATGACCTATAATTGATAATTCAGAAAATATGGTGGGGAGGGGGAAAGTTGGGTTCATCTCACAACTCTGCATTCTTCAGTGAACCAAAAAGGTTTTTGAACCCATGTGATACAAAATGAAGAAATCTATGCAAGGTACAGAATAGTGAAGGGCATCATACTTTTTCTAAGCCAAGGACTTAGCTGAGGGATTCTCCAAGGTTTTAGTGGAATGCCTGCAAAAACTGACAGTGACACCACTACTCTGAATTACTTGAGGGATAGTAGAGTAGGGCTCATGATTGAGATTTCTCATCAACCCATTTATCCCAAACCAGCAGCCCCATGGCCTGCTGTGAAGCTTAACAATCATTGACACACACTCACTACTACAAGCAAATTCAGGCATCTGAGCTCTACACAAACAAGAATTTTGATTTTTAGAAAAATGAGCATCAAAAAGCTCAATCATGAGCCCCGCTAATGTGATGATATGTAGGAATAGCTTACCATAACACAATGTGCTCCACACCTTTGACTTGTTGCTCCAGTTCAGTCATCATGAGCAAGCACCCTTATGAATGCTTGAACTGTGGAGTAGACCCTCACAAACCAGCAATTATTTATCGGTTTTGGGCTGGACCTTTTGGGAATCTTCAGCATAGGCAACTCACTGGACCCCAAAGTTTTTGGGGGGTGATTCTTAGGAGACAATGGCCACACAAGAAGAGTTTTTTACCATCTTCAAATCATCACAACCAAGAGAATCTTACACTAGTGAAATTTGAATTGAATTTGAATTTCCAGAACCTCTCTGGCTATGCAAAGTCTGTGGTATTGCTGACCAGGATTTGTTTCATTATGAGCATTGTTTTTTTTTTCTCTTGAAGCTCTCACTTCCTTTTGGTTAGAAAATCAATCATCTTCATATAACTTGATTATTTCATTGCAGTTTTTTTTTTCACAAGCAATGATATTTGATGGAATTTCACGACAAGAACTGAGAAGGGGGAGAAGTGACCGGTGACAAAAAACTCTGATGAGTGAAAGAACAAGGTCAAGAAGCCCTCTTTGAGGGCTTTTACAGGCTGCTAGCTTGTGGGTCGGAAAAGCAATCCCACTACAAGAGGTTGTATGAGTGACCTCAGGGAACAGACGCAGAAGAACTGATGCTTTTCATATTCAAACTCATGGTATGGCTAATTTATCTACATACAAATTTTGGTTGAGTTGTGGGACAGAAGGTGAAAAGAGTGCATATTCATCCGGAAGGGAAAGGAGTGACATTGGTGTGAAAGGGAGGAAAGAAGGAGAAATGAGAGAGAGACGACAGAATTCCAACACCCCCCCCAACTGATGAACCACAGAACCTACAATCGATGTTCAGCGTTGATGTTCAGTTTCTTGAATTCAGGGTTCGCTAGCATCGCTTGAAAGTTTCGTTCGCTTTCAACTTGCTCAGGAGTGAAGCCGTGAGGAACAGTGTACGCAAGATGAGCCTGGGCTGTTGCGGCGGGTTTTGAAACAGATGAGGTAGCTGAAGACTTTGATGGACATCGTTCAGGATGTTTTTCAAAACAGATCGATTCTCGATGACCAGCCTTGTCACAGTGGGAGCAGATAGTGAATCCCTTCTTGCAATGGGGGCAGAGATAATACTTATCATCGGTGGTCAGAAGCGCTTGTGGAGAGGGAATCGACGAGGAGCGGTTGAGGTGGTTTTGAGCTGCGTGTCGTTCGAGTCGGTTCAACATCATGGCTACGGTATCGCTTGAGCAGCCGATGCTGAGAACAGTTTTTAGCGATTGAAATTCGGAGGGGAGCTTGCGAAGGATGATTGCGTTCTTGACTTGATCGTCGAGACCAATCTTGGACGATATGAGTTTTTGATTGGCAGCGCGGACTTCGGAGATGAAGTCGATCGTGGATCCGTGATAGTCGAGATCAAGGAACTTTCTCGAGAGCTAAATTCCTTCGCTACAAAGTCGTCACCGGCGTATTTTTTCTTCAGGATCTGCCAGACAGAGAAGCCGCAGAACGAGGTTTCGTCGATTAGTATTTGGGACACGTAAGCCAAGTGATGGTTGTCCAGATGTTCGATGATTTCAATGTACGCAATCCGATTGATTTCCTCATACGCAAGTGCTTCTTTTGTTGGTTTTTCCGGATCTTCCAGCTTCGGTTTCTTGACGGTTCCTAGAACGACATCGAGAGCGTCAAGTTTGCTCAATTTTGCTACCATGAGAAAAGACCAAGTGGAATAGTTGGAGTCGTTGAGAAGAATGGGAGGGTTTCGAGAGTTTGACATGATGGGATTGATTTGGATGAGTGGAGGGGTTGGGGAGGATAATTGATGATGGGTTGAGGTCGAATTTCGACTGTTAATCGTGATGGAATTTCACGACAAGAACTGAGAAGGGGGAGAAGTGACCGGTGACAAAAAACTCTGATGAGTGAAAGAACAAGGTCAAGAAGCCCTCTTTGAGGGCTTTTACAGGCTGCTAGCTTGTGGGTCGGAAAAGCAATCCCACTACAAGAGGTTGTATGAGTGACCTCAGGGAACAGACGCAGAAGAACTGATGCTTTTCATATTCAAACTCATGGTATGGCTAATTTATCTACATACAAATTTTGGTTGAGTTGTGGGACAGAAGGTGAAAAGAGTGCATATTCATCCGGAAGGGAAAGGAGTGACATTGGTGTGAAAGGGAGGAAAGAAGGAGAAATGAGAGAGAGACGACAGAATTCCAACAATATTTACATGAAAGAACAAGGGAATATGGATATAGATAGAGTGGGGGTATTCTCTTGCTTAATTAAGAAGAGGCTTGAGTGAAGAATTTTTCAAGTTAAGAAACTTTCTTAGGATTGATGAGCCATGCAGATCAAGTCAAGATGTAAGAAAAGTTTTTTACCATCTTCCAAATCATGGCAACCAAGAGACTCTTAAACTACTGAAATTTGAATTGAATTTTCAGAACCTCTCTATCTATGCAAAGTCTGTGGTATTGCTGACCAGGATTTGTTTCATTATGAACATTTTTTTTTCTCTTGAAGCTCTCACTTCCTTTTGGTCCAAAAATCAATCATCTTCATATAACTTGATTATTTCATTGCAGTTTTTTTCCACAAGCAATGATATTTACATGAAAGAACAAGGGAATATGGATATAGATAGAGTGGGGGTATTCTTTTGCTTGATTAAGAAGAGGCTTGAGTGAAGAATTTTTCAAGTTAAGAAACTTTCTTAGGATTGATGAGCCATGCACATCAAGTTGAGATGCATCACATGAAGTTGCATCAAGGTGTAGAAGATTACATGTATGTATAAAATTCATGAAGTGGGAAAGAAACTCTACACATGATCAAAAAGGGAAAAAATTGTGAGACCCTCCCTCCTCTCACCCACTATGTACCACATTGGCCACTCACAAAGAAGAGAATTGAAAGAAAAAAGCTGTGAAGTATATCTGAATTAGAATGAAGATGCTTCCAAAAAATAAGAATAGTAAAAGAGGCAGATCATGTTTGTGTGTGTGTGTGTGTTAGAAAATTAAGCCAAAAATGAGCTACTACTTAGCGACAAAAAGATGATTGGTTTGAGTACATGAATGAGAAGAAAGGAAAGGGAACAAAAAAAAATCCAGAAAGATGTAGCAGCCAGTACTAGAATAGAAATTGATTGTCTGATTTTTCAATAAAAAAAGTGGTTT